CGCATAATATACTCCGTCTTGGTCATGACAAAGTCGTGACCCCCAGGAAGGACCTTCCACGTCACATTTTCCTCGCCGCCTAACAACGGCAACCCATCCTTGGCATAGTGGTCAACATCAATAACCTCGTCCGTCTTTCCAATAAACACTGCCGTGGTCCCCTTCTTCCTCTGACCTAGAACCCGCCACGTCTCGTGCTGGCCCGTAAGCGGCGCCCATCGCACGCACGACATGAACGCCTTGACGAAACCCTCGTGGTGCGCGACCATCCAGGGGACGTACTCCCGCACTTTTCGCTCAACCTTCTGATCCTCTGCGCTGCCACCGTGGGGTCCAGACACCTCCGCGGCCGCGACGTCGACGACCTTCTCAACCGGATCTTCCTCGTCCTCGACAGCATTAGATCGCTTACTCGCCAACGGCTTCTGCAACCTCTTCCTCGTAACAGCTGCAAGAATACGCTCAGGCACAAGACCAGACTGGAACGTAACCTGCGCCAGCACGCCAAAGTTCTCTGCGCGAATGAGCCCCGCGGGCGCGAGCAGGACGAGACTCTCCACCATATGCGGAAACGACGCCGCAAACGAGGCGGCCACGGCGCCGCCCAGGGAATAGCCCACGACGCGGACGGCGTCGGTGCCGGACCAGGCGAGCGGGGAGGAGGCGAGGGCGAGGAGAACCTGTGTGGTGTACAGGCGTGTGTCGTGGGGCAGGTCGCCAACGCCGTCGGAGAAGCCGCGGCCAAAGAGGTCGAAGAGCATGACGCGGCAGCCGCGGGCGGCGAGGGCGTGGGCGATGGGGCCGAGGGTCATGCAGGAGGTGCTGATGCCGTGGATGAGAACTACTTTTGGCCCGGTGGTTGAGCCCCATTCGTAGACGCGGATGGAACCGTACTGAGAGGGTGTGTGTTAGTCAATCACCTAGCAAGGTACCAGTGAGCGCATCTTGAGGAGATGGTGAGCTGGTGGCGAAGGGGTGGTATCTTACAGGCGTGTCCACATCCCGGGCGCCGGGAAAGTAGTCTGGGTGGTAGGGAAGCTTCCTGACCTCATCGCTTGTGAGTGTGGGAATCTTGGTCTTAAGAGGGTTGGGGATTGCGGTCCCCCAGTTTGGGTAGAGACCGAGTCGCGCAAGAGATAAGAAGGAAAGTGTCGCAACGACGGTCATAGCTACGATCGCCGCCGTTTTTGGCTCGATGGAGGCGCTGAATAAGGATTCCATCGTGCGGGTAGGTGGCTCGGGAGCGACAAACACAGGAGTTTGGGCTTTCGTGATGCGTGGCGTAGGTAAATACCGGAAGCTACGGATCGCAAACGAGTGGGGAGCCTGGTGCACAAGGAACTCTAGACAGATCCTCAATCAGAGAACCTTGGATGAGTGTTGTTTGCCGATCTCGCAGAGTATTATTCAAAAAATAGAAACGATCGTACAAGCGAAGAACGCTTGAGGAACAGCCTTTGTGAACCTCGACAACGGTAAGATGACGTGGGTGAGGCTGAGCCGAGGACTTGTCGTCGGTGTTCGGTGCCCCGGTGCTGTACGGCGGGAGTCGCGCGTTTGGTGGAAGGATCGGCGTCATTTTTTTTTTCCCTTTCCTTCACGAATCAACAAACTACCTAGATCGGCCCGGGGAGGGTCCCCCTGGCACTCTGAGATGGCCCCACGAGGAGTACTCCGCAGCGGCCGGATCCCTATCGCTGGCCCCACGTGGTCCTGTCAAAAGTGGAGACCTCGCTCCCGGCTGGCAGGTAACGGTCGGCACGGGATCTGTTCGGTACTCCGTAGATGCAGAGAGAGAGATCCCACCCCGAATTGGCCGCGTACGTATCAGAACACCAACCGAATTGCCCAACTCTCAGCTTCCTACTTAAATTTTCGGGCTTCGACTTTCTGATGCATTGTGTTCGGCATGATCTTACTGAGTCTGAAGACTCAGTACTTGTTGTGCAGTGCAGGACTGTTAAATATGATTTTCGGCAGCACTGTAGGCGGCTCGGCTCGGGATGTGTAAAAACCACTAGATGTTCCGACGATAACGATGGACAATATAGTCTGTACGCAACTCATGGTGAGTATAGCACGATCTTTGAATTTTGAAGCCTCTCAGAGATCGTCCACCTTACCTCTCGGAACTTCAACGAATATCAAGCTTCGCAGCACTCTCGGATTTTCTCGTCACCGACTGATTTTTTATTTTTCCCTTGTTCTTTTTTTGACCAGCAGAAGACCAAGCTATCGCCTGCAATTGCACGAGATACATTTTTCCCTACCATATAAGTAATTTCTATTTTCAAAGACGTGTCAACTTCTTCAGTGCCATAGGTTTTGCCACTCAGCTCGTCAAAGTCGACTTAGCAAAGCAAGCTGCACTTTTGATGTTGTGCAGCAAGGTCAACTGTGCAAACCGAACCCGAACGTCGGGCCGTATCACGTAGAGTATCATCAAGTCACAAACCAATCAGTCCCATCCACAAGAGGTTTAGAATAAGGTATTCTGGTATTCTACGACACACTTTACTCGACGTGAATGCTCCGAAACAGCTGTACCGTTCAAACCCTTGGCAAATGCAACCCCCTCCAAAAATAAAGATTGCCAAGGAGGAACCCAAAACCCATCGATTTGGGTGCATTTGCAGTAGCATTCATCTGAAGCATGTATACTATCCGAATGCGCGGGTGATCAAAGGTTTGAGATTCTTAAGCCGATACCACTCTCGCTGCATTTACTTCACCAACACCACCCACGCACGCAAACACACACTCTCTCTCTATCTCTTTCTGTTATTTATTTATGCGAACAGCCTCGTCTCAAGAAATGAACGGAACACTCGGCTCAGTCCCAATATTAAAAAACAGCAAACTCTTCACGCACAAGCCCCGTTCTCAGCTTCAGACAATTCCGGCATCCCGCAATTGCAAACCCGTTCTCGAACTCGATAAGGAGTGAGAAAAAACCCCATCCGTCTATGCTCGCCCCAGTCGTTCGGCCAGGGGGGGTGGGAGAAAAGGTATGAGCTAGGTCGAGAGCTCTGAGCTTTTGAGATTTTGTTTTGCCCCAGGTACGTGCGGATATTCAAATGTGCGTGCGCGCGCGCAGTATCCGTACCTCATGCATCTTTGGTTTGCTTACGGGGTACTCCGTACCATTCGTATGACCACCCAGCCCCCATGACGTTCGGGTCGGGTATCGAACCAAGCAAGACCCAGCAATGGTTGTCCTGTTTGCTATGATCTCACTGTTCATAACAGGCGAGTCTCAACCATGGTTCTTTTTTCCCTTCCCTTCTCCCGACTCCCTGGGGGCCTGGGCAGAGAGACAGGGAAATATGCATTCGGTAAGAAATCCCCTTCTTCTACACATACCGAAATACAAGCACGGCAGGAGGGATGTAAATCATGGCAATAGCCAATGAATGCTTTCCCTCCGGTTCGGTTTCGCATTCTCTCATGGAAATGCCTGCCAAGCACGGTAAAAAAAAAAAAAGAATCGACAGAGCGTAAGGCAAGGTACGAAATACAACGTCACAAAACGTCAACTTTAACCGGGAAAAAACTCAATTGCGACACAGAAAAAGTGACTACTTACTACTGACCAGTACCAATCAACGAACCAAGCAAGCGCGCACATTAGCCGCGACATCTTCGCTACAATTCCGCGCTTTTCAATCTTTTCTCCGAATTTTATTCATGTCTGAGCCGATGGAGGTTGGGATATCCCCGAAACCCCCCCATCTTCCCGCGTCACAATCATCTAAGGTACGTAGTAGAACGTCTTATCCACTTTGTCCCGCGGGAAAACTTGCCTCATTGATTACACTTACCTTAGGAGTGGCATACATCACAAGTCCTTCACAGATTAGGGAACCCAAAGGATCCGTATCCCAGTATCTTATGACTCGCGGCATATGGGCTGAACCGGGACCGGGATCTAGGTACATATTACCTTACACAGTATCCGTACGGGCCAGAATAGGTTGAGAAAAAAAAAAAAAAAGAGCACGGACAAAGTCGGTTTACTATGTATCCGTAAAAGGACCAAAGCAAAAGGTTTCCCCTGCGTTGCTTTATATTCTACTCCGTGCTACGGAAGCGCTCCCGTACCGGCAGGCAAGCCAGTCAACCATTCCCTGCGAGTGATTGACTTAAACATACCTTATACAACCTCACCCTTACTCTGGAGTCTTCTGTACTCCGTACGGATGCCCCGCGAGGCATAATAATACATCTTCTTTAAGAAGAGCCCTATAGGGCGGGGAAAAAAGGGGGCAGTGTAAGACATTTGCATTTTTGCTTAACGCCAATCTCTGGGTCGGTATTTCCGAAATGATGGATGTGTCCCCCCTACGCTCTCCTGTATCTTGCCGCGATGCCGCAGTACCGTGACTTGGCCCCCAAACGGAGGTGTCCGAGTCGTTGATGCTTGAATACATCCAATTTTCATTGATTGCAAGTTCGTGGCTGAACTTGCTGGCCTCGAACACTGAACACTAGACATTGAATATGACATCCGTCTTTCTGCATACTGGATGCAGCATTGAACCATGCTGAACTTCAACATGGTGGGGCCAGTCCGATGGGGAGAAGAGGAGTTTCAAGGCCACCGTGTCGGAAAGGGAACGTCCGTCTGTTCTACGCAGTAGGGGGCCTGCGTTAGCCGTCCAAAGTTGAGCTCTAAGTGGTGAGCTTAATTGCCCATGTTCTAGTTCGGATAGCAACCGAATACACCATAAATGAGAAGAGACGATAATTGTAATTCAGCTAGCGCAAGGCTAGACATCTTTGGTATTGTAGGCAATATAGATTGATGTGGTTCCAAGAACCTTGGCTTTAAGCGCAAGACACCTTTGGAAAGAAGCCGCAGACAGGTAACTTTTTTGATACATGGGTATACAACCGACCGCCATTTTACCTCTAGACGCCTCTTCGTGAAGTACAAAACAAACAAAGTAAGAAGAAATATCAAAATATGGCTCGTAATGAATAACAACAACAACAAATCATCATGACATGCCGACTGCCCAAGCAGCGTGGCCTAGCTGCTTGATCAGCAGGCACAAATTCTCGACAATGGGAGGGTGAAGATCCGCCGACTCGCGAAAGTTGGCCCGGAGCACTTCCTGAGCCACTTCCATGCACGCCTTGGGATCGTCGAGCGACGCCTCGGTGGCGCCGGCCCTACTCATGGGTCCTAGGATCACCGGCCGCCCCTGGTTGAAGCCAATGAATCGGTGCACCAGGTTCGACTCGGTGCCGTCCAGAAACACCTTTTCCTGGTCGAACCCTTGCACCGGCGTCTTCCCCGTGCCGCTCGTCTTGGCGACCACCCCGTAGGTCCAGCACGCCAGAGCCGCATGGTGGACGGCGATGGCGTAAAAGTCTTTGAGATGGCCCTGGGGGAACATCTTGGCCTGACGCAGGATCTGGCCTGCGTGCCAGAGCGACTGGCGCGCCTCGGCGCTCTGCGACCACTCGCGCAGGTCACCGAATACCCGGCGCGCCTGGTCCTCGCCTTCCTTGCCAGAGAAGAGCTGTAAATCGTTGAGGGAGAGGTGCAGGTTCATCATGAGAAGATGGAGCACCAGACTCTCCTGCGTCGAAAGCATCTCGTGCCAGTCGGAAGTGACCAGCAAGAAGCCCTGCAGGTCTTTGCAAAGCTCCGCATGTCTGGAACGTAGTACCTCCTCAGACTTCCCTCCAGAGTTGTTTAGCCAAGTCCGGGTGCGCAAGACGGAACACAGCTGGAGATACTCAAGAATGAGCGCCCAGTAGCCATGCAGGTATATCGAGATTGCAAATTGCAGATCTAGTCGCTGGCGGTTCGTTGCCAACAAACTGATGTCCCGGAAGAGATCACCGATCGAAGGTGGTCGTTTGCTCTGTCCGTTCGTTCGTTCGAGATAGTGCATCTTCCATTCGGCCGCCGTCTTTGCAAACCACAGCTCCTTTGCTTCAGGGAGGGGCAGTGTGAGTTCCGAGTACGACATGGAGGGGTTGGTGAGTGTTGTCATGGAGGTCTGAGCGTCTCGCACGAAGCAGTGGAAAAGTAGTCTAAATGCGTTAGCACAAGGATATCCCGGACCTTTGGGTCTATAAGCTTACCTCTTCCACGACTCACGCTCGCACCAGGCCCTCCATTTTTTCTCCAAAACTTCGCCTTCGTCCGACATATTGACCTCGACCATGGGGTACGATGCTCGTTGGAATTTGCCGCGATATCTCATCATCTATGCAAAGCATTAGCAACCAGGCTGTGGGAGACGGACAGCTGAAAATAGCTACTTACCGTAATAGGAATCATGAGATGACATTCGGCGATCTCCATCTTGCGTCGGTTCCCGCTCCACAGACCAATGTCTTGGCCCAGGATCAGAGTCTGCACAAGGCCGAGATTTTTGATCGTGGTGTTGGCATCCTCGAACCTTGCCGGGATGGTAACTCGGACCGCTTCCTGAAGAGCAAACCCAAACTTGCGCAAGGTTTGCACCGGAGTGAGGGTAGCCCCAGCTGAAGCTGCCACAGCTAGCCATTCTGGCCACTGGGCGTTCATGGAGAACGAGCCGTGGTGAATCCATTGTGACGTCTGGCAGAAATGTTGCGCCAGGTAGATGTGGATAAGGCTGTCCATCACCTCAAGGGACGGAAAAGAGGATGCGACGCGGCTCATGATGTTGTCGTTCTTGCAGGTTGACAAGACGATTGCCAAAATCTGATCCCGGCCCGACTGGTCCAGTTTGTCCCTGACAATCCTCGCGTGCTTCTTCCGGCTTTCGGTGAAAACAGCGCTGCTTGTGTCGTCGGATGGTACGGAGAAGTTTGGGTGCTCCAAATAGCCCGAGTCGAGCTTGTTGGGCGCCCATTGCCACGGTGATTCTGTCCAGACCTTGACAAGCGTTTGGCGCATTTGGACCAAATCGACAGAGTCGTCGGTCCGAGGCGTGAAGCTTTGGTTGGATCCGGTATTTCCCATGCCGTCCATGTTCCAATGATCCAGAAGGCCAAAGTCCACTTCGTTCAGTTCGAGATTCGAGTTGTCGCAAAAGTCCAGGACAGCTAGACCCTGTGCCTCGGCCATGCGCGACGCTTCCATCTCTCCTGTGTAGATGACATTTTGGAGAAAGTCTGAGAAAGGCAAGGTCATGTCGACACCTTGCTGGTTGCCGATCTCGTAGTTAACAGGCATGCCGGAGGCGTTGACTTGTTGCATGGCATTTTCTGTCGTTGGTATGCGGCCTGATTCCGACTTGATGGTGTGAGCAGGTCCCAGCTGGCCACTGTCGTCTCTGGGCGGCAGCATTGCATGTTGAGGGTTCTGTTGGTACGCTGTTGAGGGGCTGCTATCATAGGCAGATTGTGAGGGAGATGTGGCAAGAGATCCGGGCGTTGATGTTGTCTGGTGCGGGTTTCCCGAGAGATGAAGCAGATGCATGGCCGCAGCTGAGCCGGCTTCGGTAGATGAGTACTCGCAGTTTAGGTTGCGATTCCGGCAACGGGTGCATGGCTTTTGCTCCTCGCACTTGACACGAGCCGTGGCACAAGGTCTGCAGGCGTGAGAGACACGGCCGGCACCGGGTGAGGTATCGGTGCGACGTCTCTTTTTGTTGGGGTCATTGTCGTTCTCGTGATTGGTGACATGCCGCTTGAGGAGATCTTGGCGCGCAAAGGCTTTGCCGCATATCTGACACGCGAATCGCTTTCCAAGAGTATGGGTCTGAATGTGACGGGCGAGGTGCTCAGGTCGAGAATACCGCCGTTGGCAGTGAGCACACTGGTACAGACTGGCGGTAGCAGCGTGGCTCTGGGTGCCGCCCGGGGTTGATGTGGGATAGGGAGATTGAGCTGTTGGCACGGGTGAAGGAGAGACGGATTGCGAGGGACCATTAGGGTTGTATGAAGGTGCTGCCGAGACGACTATTGTGGCATTCGGAGAAGGACCGGAGGCGAGGGGGTTGGTGTTACTGTTGGAAGTAGAAACCCGCTGGTCATCGGTACCAACGCCCCGGGTTGGCATCATGTTGTGGTGACCACCGTCCATCATGATGTTGTGTTAGTGAAGGTCGGGGCGGGTCCGGCAAATCGGCCGTGAAAAGGCCAACGGCGCCGGACGGAGCGGTGGTAAACCGTAAGCGGTCGGAAGAAGATGGTTGGCTGCTAACGGCAGCGCGCGACGGCTGTGTCGGCAAGCTGGACGGAAGGTAGGGGGGAAAAAGAATGTTGTGAAGGCAAAAAAGTTTTGCAAACCTGGCCTCAGGAAGGATAGATCCGATGTGGGAGGTTGTCGGGAGAGGGAGACAAAAAGGAAATATGAGCCAAGGGCGGCGGATCAGGTGCAGAAGCTTGCTTAAGGTAGGTGGTAGGTTGAGAGCTTTGGTGCTGTGCTTCGAGTGTGCTGGTGCTGGTGCTGGTGCAAGCCAAATAATAACCTAAGTTAGAGCGAAAAGCGTGCGGCTGCAGCCAAGACCAGAAAACTGCGGGACAAGAACTTGTGTCGTTTTTTCTTGGGAACGTTGAGGGCTTTAGCTTAAACCTGACTTGTCTTGTTGCCGAGAGTCTTTGATTTGACTCGAGGTAAGTTGAGACTGGAGTTGAGCTCGGGGAGAAGCCGTAGTAGTAGTAGAACAAGCACAAGTAAGGTAGTGGTAGTTAATCGTAGCCAAGCCAAGGCCCAAGTCAAGGTAAAGTAAAAGCAAGGTCATGTAAGGTACAGGTAGGCGTATGGATAGCGGTAGAGGTACCTTCATGTGAGGTAATGGAGACAAGGTTGGGTTGGACCTTGGGGCAAGGGGAAAGAATAGCCTGGTGGATGGTGGACTGTGAACTGTGGGACATGGAAGCAGCTGCTGCTCACTCAGGCTGTGAGCGGGACGACTCCTCTAAAAAAGACAAGGTACGTACTCGTAAGGTAGGTAAGGTGAGGTAAGGTAGGGTAGGTACTTGTCCGTCGAAATAAGCCTGGTTGTATCCGTAAAAGCCCAGTTGCTGGAGCGTCTGTGAGGCGCATTGAGCACGCAGACGCGGATGGGAAGCTGTGGCCGTGGATGTTGGGGGCGGCGCTATGCAAGAGGGTAAGGTAGGTAGGTACTCCGTACGGTACGGTGTACTCCGTTCGTAACTTCGTACCGGCTGCGGTTCGCAAGCGGGACGAAAAAAGAAGGCCAACCTGGAGACCTCATGGACCTGGTGGACGTGGTAAGGTGCCGCGTCAGTTCAATCACGGTACTATTCGTGGTATTATTTCAACGCCACATTGTAGTACGTCGGCCGCTGGTGATGAGTATATTGGCTTGACGGGCCAAACACGTCGAATGCGAGGGCTGCCCTAGAGGAACCAAAGACAGCGATCGGGGGTGGCCTCGTCATCCTCTGGCCGGCGCTGGACCTCAAAGGGGAAAGGCTCGAGCTGCCAGAGCTTCGAAACCCAAAACTCGGGCGTTGGTTGCATTTGGTGGAACGACCAGGTCTGGAGTTATGCAGGGCGACTGGAGAATGAGACCCAGACCTAGATCCCGGCCGAGGCGACGCGCAAGGGTCCATTGACGGCCGAGCACTGAGACGACGACGTCGCGGCTTTTCCGCGAAGACGGTAGGTGCTAGCTACCGAGTAAGAAGGTGTCTTGAGCTGATGCTGCCAATGATCATTCAGAGATTCAGAGGTGTAGCTGCTGTAAAACAAGAGTCCGGCCTGGCCTCGACTAGACTGTTGTAGTATCCGGGCCGTTGTATGACTACCGGTATGTGCGTGTGCGTGTTCACCAAGTGTTGTGACCATGCCTTAAAAGATCCGAAGAAGCTCCCCCTGTCCTATTCAGTTCTGTCTTGGTCTCTGGCATCGACGACAACATCAGCCGGCAGATGGCATCGCAAGAGGTCGGATGGATAACCTTGGAGTACCCAGGACACACATATACGGATACACACACCGGCCAAACCCCATTTTGAAGCAGTCTGAGGCTGAGAATAACGGGCAACATCATCAGACGATGCTAACCGATGCTTCACAATACTCCGCTGTTGAAGAGGGCGAGGCTTCTTGGTGTAGGCATGTATATAATTGTGGGCCAGCATGTCATATCCCGCACGCGCACGCGTCTCTCCAGAGAAAGATCCCGAGCCGACAAATTCAGCCCGTCTAGTGGATAACGTAGGTAAGCAGATGGAGCCATTCATATGGAAGTAATCGGACATCCTGGCAGTCGCTCGAAACAGTTGATGGACATGTTGCCAATGCTGGCCACGACCCCCGTTGACCAAAGTCCCGATGCGAATTGGTTTGAGACGGGCAGAAGGCATGATATCCGTATGCTGCATTGCCATTTCCAGTCGTGGCCTCTTTATCCATCTCTGGACCTCGTGGGCGGCCTTGTTCGGAGCACTCCGGCTGTCCCTTTTTTTTTTTCTTTTTTTTTTTTTTTTTTTTTTTTGCTCAAAGGCAATCGATGTCCAAGATCTTGGTAGGGGCGAGTCATCGATTTGCGCTGCCGATCGGGTCGGCTCAAACACTGGACAAAAAGTCAATTGACTCCGTTCATTATGACTCGCGACGAACGTGACGAAATGCCTAGCCGGCTTGGCCAGACAAAACTGCGGTGGTCTTCCTGCCTATTCACAGTGACAACTGACTTGACGGGATGGACCGGATTCACCGCCGCACAGGATGAGATCGCAAGTCTCCATGAGGATGCGTCTTGACCAGGAAAAGCAAATTGACGAGTGGAGTGAGGAATCGAGCGGCGGAAACTTCCTCTCCGCTCGCCGTGGACGGAGAAGCAAAGCCCTGCATCTATGCAGCTCGGTGCAGCGTGATGGGATGGATAATGACTTGCCAGGCGCAGGGGCTGGCGCAAGACGATGCTGCGACTGCGGTTACCTAGTATCCGCAGATAAGGTACAGATACCTTTTTGTCCTTGCTGGTGTTCTAGGTAGTTGAGGTACTGGGATACTTGAAAAGTTGAAAATGTTGTGCACGCGATGGGCGGAAACTGTAGCACACAAAGTAGACATCGGGGACTCGGCGGCCCAGGGATCCCCGTAGCCGCCCCAGCAGTTCCCCATGAGAAAACATCAGTGACCAGTAACCAGACTTCCAAGGGACTCCAGACGCGGAGTTCAGAGAGGCACAGGTGACAGGGTGGTGCTCGTCAGTCGTCCAGAGTCTAGAGTCCGGTGCCAAGTGGAGGGAAGAGACAAGTTGAGTACTCCGTGCCTCAGGTGGGATTCCGGCGGTTGATGAAAACAGAAGATGCAGACGGGATGCAGATGGCATGTCTTCCTTCCCAAGAACAAGGCGTCTAGACTCTAGACATTATCAGAAGATTAGATACTCAAAGATGTTGATTGGACCATTGCAATATGGAAGGTAGATACCTTATGAGAGTGTGATGCACAATAGAAGGGATGGAAGGAAGCCACTGACTGTCATGCCTTCCGTCTTGTCTGATTCATCTGATGGACAGGGTAGGTAGGCACCTTAGGTAGGTGCACTCTGCAGTGAGGTGCTGCGCTGCGCTGCACAGCTGCAGATGTGTGCAAGTGCTGCGTAGAAAACATCGGCACGGGATTGAACGAGAGCGTTACGTAGGCCCTAATATCCGTGCCATCCCTGAGCCTGTTCGGTTGTCCCGAAAAGGCTTGGTGCCATGGTTCTCCCCGATGGAGACCCGCTCAGGGGTGGAGAGCTCACTCATCCTCTATTGATAGATCTCCCCCAGTAATTTTGATAATGGAACCCTTCACCATAGCAATTACGCACCACGCAATTCCTCATCCAAAAGCACGTCGCTCAAAATCATCTTGGGTCGTGGCACTAGACACAAGTCCAAGGTACCCTGCCTTCCTGTTCGTTTGTACACCACCTTAGGGTCTTTAGCGCCGCGGTACTTGTCTGCGCTAGCTAGACCTTAGCAAGGTTAAGTACACCATCTCCATTCTGGTGGCTTGAGTACGTACACTCACTAGCGCACGCTTAGAAGGTGCCTTCCTCAGGTACATTGCGCAGTACATACTACCTTACGTCCCTACCTAAGGTAGGCAAGATTGTAAAGTAGGTACGTACTCCTGTCGGCGGAGAGGCCCCACACCATCCTCCCTCACCCTGCATCTGATTGCTGCATCTCTGATTCCACGTCGTCTCCTCCACTTGCGCCAACACTGCGGGCGGAATTTGACCACACTTCTTCTTCTGCTCTTGGTCTCGACTATCATCAACTCGTCCACTCATTGGCGCGCACTACTCCAGACACTCACAACTTCAGATGACAGCCCGCCGTGTCTGGTGTGTTTGCTGCTTCTGCGGTCTGCCAGTCGCAGGATGACGAAAGCCTGCCTGCCCCTCCCCTCCCTTTAAGCCTCGTCAAACATATCCCGGCAACCCTAATATCTTGACCGTCGATGGGCCCGTGGCATGAAGCTTGAATTCTGCCTTACCTGACGGGGCATCTGGGGCAAGCTGAACAAAAGCAAACGCGTCTTTATTCGCATGGCTCCATCACCTATAGGGCCATGACGAGTTCACGTTGTTTCAACTTTTAACCCGCCGGCGCCAACGACCAGGGCCCAAAGATGGAAACATGGTAAACTTCAACCGACGATGTCCATGCCCTTACTCTATTTGTTGTAAGTCAGATGGGAGAAACGTCATGTTGAAACACTCCTTACTCTAATCACCAGAATACGAGCCCATGAAATTGGTCCATCGCCTGGCCATACACCAGAGCCGTGTGGAGGAAGAGAAGAATGAGGCATCACGGAGCGACTGGGGCATGCAAGTCCACTCCTCTGAGATCCATAGTTGTATACCGCTCAACTGGTCAACCCTCGCCTACCCGCCTCGGCCCTCACATCCGACATCTCTGGAGTCTGGGACTCTAACATCATCCAAGCCTGCCTTGTCGACCTCGGCCCACGAACGAAGAGATAACGGCTCTGCATGTCGTTGACACATTCCAGGAACGGCACTCTCCGAGCGTCGTAGATGCATATGCAGTGCACTGCCCGCAAGCGAGGCTGGCGGGATCCGTCAAGAACCACATGAGCGGCCTCTAGAGGCTTTTCTTTTGCCCGGCCTCCACGGTCGAGAAGCATTACTATGGAGTGTTTACTGACGGTTGTCTAGTGTCCACGGCAACATATCCCTTCACAGATATTGCGTGGGGAGCGCGTTGCGCGTCTCCTAGACGAGACATGCGGCATGCCAGGGTCTCTCCGCCGGCTCTGGCACACTAGCCGACTAGTGTACTACCTCTTTTTTACTTTTTCAACCCCATATTAAGCACCAGCCACACTTTCTCACCACGTAAGACTGGCACACCGTGGATCATAACCCGGAGCTGATGGCCGAAAGCGGCACTTTGGGTCCTATGCTTAGTTCATGCGGCACAAACTCTTCTCCTCTCTTTGAGGCTCTTTCCAGCAAGGCTTGGACCTGTTCAAGGACGGGAAACCTTTTACAACTGATCTTACGCGTGCGATGGTGGCGGGTTTGGGCGGGGCGGAACTCGGCTGGACTGCATTGTAAACTTCCATGTAGTCCATGATTCCCAGTTAAGATGATCAGCATCTTCATCATCATCATCATCATCAAGCACCAGCACACTTTGGTGTCTGACGTCTGTTCGCAAGCGCGCAGGACGAACATGTCTCGACTTTCGAGGTCTTCCCTGCTTGCTTGCTTGCTTGCCTGTCACCTTGTCTCCGTCTCTTCTCTCTTCTCCGTCAGACTCCGTGTGAACAAAGTATGCAAAGACGGACACTTGCGTACGTCTCATCTCGGAGGTTGTCGCATCTGTCATCTGTCCCTTTTTACTCCCTCGTTGGCTCCTTCACTAGCGTTCCTGCTAGAACCCACCAATTGGTTTTCCTCTGGTCATGTTTCGGTCGCCCATGTCCAAAGGCTTGGCAAAAGGCTTGTTGGTGGAACTTGGCCCCTTGAAATCGAATACCCCTTAGTCGCGGATAAGACAGTGGCCGCTGCGGCTAAATCCTTGTCTGTTCCCATTCCTCTGCGTGCCAAGTCTGTCCTCATTTACCCTAGTGCTCAAATTCGGTGAGCAGGGTTGGGGCCTGATAATCTCCTGCTTAGGCCCGTCGCCTATCCCCGTCCGTCCTTTGGCTCTTGGGATGTGCCATCCAGTGTTCCTGGCGGCCCTCACGCACCATCCATCACTGCGACTCCACGCGTCGGCCTCTCCAAGGTATCACCAGGTACTAGGTAGTGAGTGTATCCGTACACACAGACTACCGAAAGGTAGCTGTTGTCGTTCTCGAGAGAGCTGCGACGCCAGGTTCAGACTTTGCATCAGTCACCCTTCAAACTCGTTCGCGACTTGCTGTTCCCCCGCTATTGTTCTTTGTTCCTCGTCTGCGGCGACTCTCTACTGGTCATCTCTTCTTTTTCATCTTCTCAGAGATCATACCAACGAATCATCTGTGTTTGACATTGTTGAAAAAGAAGCCCCATGTTTCCCCACAGAATCCAATCAACGACGGGCTACCGAGACAGTAAAGCTTAAACTTTTTGCCGTCTCTCTTCTCTCTGCAAAGTGCTAGGTAGTAGTAGCAGTGAACCACGTCCGCGCCCGCCTATACCTCCCTTTTGATGCAACCACGTTGAACGATCGACGCGGCAGATACGCCTGGACTCGACCGTTTCATCGATCGGGCTCGTCTTTTTCAAGCAGGGGGAGTAGCCGCTTCTCACTACTCCCCAACTTCTTGGAACGGAATTCCGGACGACTCCGTTCACCCGGCTTGCAAACAGTGCGCCGTGACTTCTCTAGAAGACTCCCTCTGGAGAAAGGGCCCCATAACCTTCCAGAGATCCCGAGCCGAGGGCAGACAAACTGCATCGTCAGAATCGTCAGAACACGGGGGGCTCTCGACACAAATCCAGTAATGGATAGCAATACAAGACATGTAGCGGAGGAAACAACGCGGGCGAGGACGTTGGGAAACGTTCGTTTAAGGCATCCAGAGACCAACGAGATCATATTGATCCCGACGCCATCAGCAGATCCAAACGACCCCTTAAACTGGTAGGTACTGGACTGGCGACCTAGATCGTCAAAGAAGCCAGGGATTTTCAGCTGACTCGCTTAGGCCACAATGGTACAAGTACTACATGGCGGGGTTGATATGCTTCGCCATGATGATGTGTAACTTTCTGGCAGCGGGTATGCTCGAATCCATCGTCTCCAGAGTACTCTAGAAGACGACCGGCTAACGGATGTCGTTGCAGGACCCTCGATCGCGTTGCTAGATACAGCCTTGGAGTTCTTCCCGGCAGCCGCCACCGATACTGATGTTCTCAGTCTCGCGATCGCCAGAACTGCTTACTTCTTCACGACAACCGCCCTGCTCCAGGGGGTGGGCAACTTCTTTTGGGTTCCGCTCGCCAACAAGTTTGGCCGACGGCCAGTCTACGTTGCGAGCTACTCCATCTACTTTGCATGCACAATATGGCTCATTTTTGATCACTCGTACGGCGGCTTCTTGGCCGGCCGGATCCTGATGGGATTTGGCGCTGGAGCCGCGGAGACGATAGCGCCTATCTCCATCGCTGACGTTTTCTTTCTGCACGAAAGAGGAACCATCATGGCGTGAGTGCTTGTTCTGGCAGAGAAGCAGGCTGGCAGCTCGCTAACGTTAGTGATACAGACTCTATACCGCGTTCCTTTCTGCGGGCGTCGGCTTTGGTGTGGTCATTTCAGGGTAAGTGATGGGGAAAGCGTCCCAGAGCCTGCCGGAAATTTTCTAACCGTCGTGTGTTCTGGCAGTCTCATCACCATCAACCATAACTGGAGAGTCATCTACCAAGTTTCTGCCGCTTTGGTCGGCGTTGTGCTCCTACTGGCATTCTTCACCTTCCCCGAGACCGCATACGAGAGAGACGAAGCGAGTGCTTGGAACCGCCTGGGTTCGATAGACGGGAGCAAACCCGGGTCGGTGAGGTCGGAAGGCGAGCTGCCCGCTCGTCCGCTAGGAGCTTCGACGACGACGACAAGACGCTCAAAGCAATCATACCTTTCTTCGCTGAAAATCTTCAACAAGACGCTGACGCAGGAGAGCCTGCTGAAGCTTGCGCTGCGACCCCTGGGCCTGATACTCTTGCCGCCGGTCCTCTGGGCGGCGCTGGTGCAGGCCGTGACGGTCGGTTTCCTCGTCGCTGTGTCTTCCAATGCTGGTTCCGCCTTCTACACGGCATACGGATTCGATTCGTGGCAGATTGGCCTCTGCTTCATTGCCGGCATCCTCGGTGCGTTGCTCGGTATCCCGGCGGGCGGGCATCTTGGCGACATGATTGCGGATTGGTTTACCAGACGAAACGGCGGGATGCGGGATCCGGATATGCGACTGCCTGGCATGGCCATCAGTATGGTTACGACTCCGTTGGCTCTCGTTCTCTACGGCGTCGGCATCGATAGCCAGCTGCACTGGATCTGTCCCACCATCGGCCTTGGACTTCGTACGTTGCCTTCCCCCCTCTCTCCTCTCCTCTCCTACCCGTCCCACCCCTCCATGCTCTTTTGTCGAAACAACGGTGTTTCTGATCATCCCATCTACAGTTACCTTCTCCATCTCCCAAGGAACGAACATCTGTCTCGTGTACGTGATTGATGCCTACCGGCCCGTCGCCGGCGAAATCACCCTGGCCGTCATGGGCTTCAAGTGTAAGTGGGCGTCCGACTCTTGGCATGCCTTCTTTTTGTCCGGCATGTAAAGCTGACTCTGGTCCTTGTCTTGCTGCAGCACTCTTCGGCTTCCTGTTGTCCTTCTACACCAATACCTGGGTTGAAAAGGCAGGGTACGACAATGCCTTTGGGGCCATGGCGGGCATCGCATCTGCCGTCTTGGTCCTGTGGGTGCCGTTATTCGTCTGGGGCAAGGCGATACGACACGAGTCGTGGAAGTGGCCGATCATCCGGTATATCCATTGGAACGAAGACAGGGAGGTAGGGGAATAAGAAAAGAGACGATGGAGAGAGGAGGAGAGAGAGAAAGAGAAGAGACCGGACGAAGTTGTAGTTTTCTTGTACCCATCCCACAACGATACCTTCACGGCAGCACACGTATAGCAAGGCGTTTCGGTACTTATAAGAATTGAGTTTTCATATTATGACGGGAAAAGAAGAGCACAGCAAAAATAAGAGGAAGGGCAAGCGCCTTTTACAAGCTTTAAGGTCCCTCCTTCGTTCTTTTTTTTTCTATCCGTAATTCCTCCTGGTCTTGCTTTGGCCTCCCCCCATTCGTTGCGCCAATACGCAAGCCCACGGCGTGCCCAGCCCACCTTGGCTCTTCGGGATGTGGGAGGAGCTGGGTCCCTCATTCCCGACACCAGCGCCGCCCAGGCAAGCGGGGTGGGGGGGGGCCAAGCAAGGCCGCGGACAGGTTTAACGACATCTCTCTCGCCCAATCTCAGCTCTGAGCAGCTCGCAACAGCCCCGTTCCTGGACCCCTTGAACAGGCCATTTCATACAGAATTTTGATCATACTTTCCTGTGTTTTCCTTGAAAATAACTTGCTCAGTGGTCCTCAGTGGCTCGCTTCAACTAATCTAGCTGCCTAGCCAAAGGTGGTGGCCGTTTTGTTTTTTCTTTCTGCCCTTTTGGACCCTGAGTCAATGATGAGTAAAACTTTATCATCATCCCTAGTTCTTGCGTGGCTGGCTTTCACGGGCGACGGGGTGTGGGCTATTAGTACCCATGTATCCGTATGTGCCAGGCTCTGTCCCAGACTCTCTCTCAGGCTTTCTCTCTCTGTGACCTCTGTTTCTCTCCCTCGTGACCTCGTCTTCTCTTAAAGAGGAATCCATACTCCGTCCAGATATTCGTGGACTGTACTCCGTAAATCCCCCTTCCCGCTCGCTCGCTCTCTCTCTCAAATACTGAGCCCCCCGTCAATGACGGCGTTAGCGCCGGTGACGCTCCTGCTCCTGGCGAAGCACAGCACCTGGTCGGCCACGTCGTCGACCGTGGCGAGGCGCTTGAGCGGCGTCCTGTCCCGGGCGGCCTGTTGTTTCTCTTCCGGGAACTGTAGGCCCCATTCCTATACACGCGGAACGGTGGGTATGCAGTGAGCATGTCTGTTTCTGTCTTTTCACGGATGTGTCTTGCCGTGATACGTATGTAGTCGGATGAGATAGACAAGGGGGGGGGGGGGGCAGAGATAGGGTAAGGTATGAGGGTAGGAGTGATGGGGAAGGGGAAGGGTGCGGATTGTGTAACATACCGTCAACATGAGGCCCGGAGAGACGCTGTTTACTCTTATTCTCGGGCCCGCTGCTAACGCGAGGCCTTTTACGAGGTGGATCTGGGCTGCTTTCGTCACGGCGTAGGCCTATGTTGTTTTTGCATATCGTGTTAGAGAATCTGCCTTGCCTTGCCTTGCTTGCTTCCTGCGCCCATACGATATTGGGCAGCAGAGATGGCGAGGACCAGGAGAAAGATGGAGAGAAATGAGATTGCAAAGAAAGAATGGTTTACCAGTGAACTCCCGCTGACTTTGACACCGGCCAGCGACGCCGTCGTGATGAACGCGCCCTCTGCCTCGTCGAGGTACGGCCGCGCGGCGTGCATGAGGAACAGGTGCGACTTCACATTCATGTTGAAGCAGCGGTCCCAGTCGTCCTCGTCGACGTTGTCGTCGAGGTCCGCGATGTTGCGGAGCCTCGTCCAGCCGCTGTTGGAGAAGAGGACGTCGAGGCGGCCGCCGAGGGCGTCGGCCGCGCTCTTGACGAGGGCGGAGGTTTCGGCGCGGGAGGAGAGGTCCGCTTTGATGGCGTGGAAGTGCTGCCTTTGGCCTCCTTCTGTGGAAGAAGGGGAGGTGGATGAGAGGGACTCGAGTTCCTTGACCAGGGCATCCGCGCGGTCGCTGTTGTTCGCGTAGTTTATGACGACGCTGTAGCCGTTGCGGGCGAAGAGTTTGGCTGTTGCGGCGCCGAGGCCTGCGCTGCCTGCTGTGATGAGGGCGGTTGGGATTGGAGACATGGTTTCTGAGAGTGTTCTGTTTTTCCTTTTTTTTCTCTTCTTTTCCCCCCTAGTTCCTGTTGGATGTTTTTTCGATCGGCAAAAGTAAGGGGTGATGAGTGCGGTATGAGTGTGCCAGTGAGCGCGGCCTTGCTCGGTCCCGATGACCTTTGTGTTAGAAAGGAACTACGGAGCTTTGTATCGGAATTCCGGTGTCGGGGCGGGGTAAGGTCGGGACCAGATTGGGGCCGGCATGCACACCAAGGAGCCGAAGAAAAGGGCGGGGTAATGATTGCGGCAGAGTGCCTTACGCGGGTGCCGAGGGTTCCATGTGGGTTCGCGCGAGCGGTAGGTTTTTGATCTCATTATTCCGTTTACCGTGGACTAGATCCGATGGGATGAAGTAGAACAAGGTGAGGCCTGGAAGAGTTTTGGTCAGATCGATATTCCTAATGAGTTGAGTTCAACTCATCCTATGTTTTGCCGTATTCGTAACATAAGCAGCTACAGAGTGCGATGGACAGGTAGGAATTGGATCATAATTGGCACTGGACCTGGAATACACAAATACCCGGTACTATATGCGGCAGATGCATCACTTACAGAGGCACATATGCTATGACTTTGATTCAATGTCGCTTGGATGTATCCCCCCAATAATAGACATATTGGTGTAGGAAGTTGTGGTAAACTACAAGTCACAGTAGCAGCAGCACCAGCAAGAAGAAAGCCAACGGACCCACCCCCACCTGAGCCGATCTTTTGCTCGCTCCCCCCCCCCCCCCCTCCTTGACCGGAAACACTCCCCGACACATCCTTACCGAGAAAGTCTGTCTGTAAGACAAACCATTCGGTTTCCAGTTCGACGCTGAAAATGTTTATTACAACCTTTGAATAACGACGGTTGTCACCTTCCCCTTGCAAGTTCCTGTGAATGGGAGGAGGGGGGACTACTCGAAGGAGGCATACCGCTGAGACCTTTGTGCATAGGCTCAGCTGTTCGATTAGTCTCAAGTACTTTCAAAAGACTTTGTTCGGGACGATTGTTTTCTGCTTCTCTCATGACAGATGGACACAGCAGTGAGGAACAGGGTTACTAGGTGATCGCATAGTATGGATGATGAGGCTAAACGACGTCCCGCGTATAACATGTCCCCTCCCCCGCCATGGTTCCGGCCTTCCGCCCGCCGGCAGAAAATGCGGGGGAGAATGATGGGGAGGAGCAATCTGCCCAGCCACTGGTCACCTTTTTTCGGTATGGCTTTCGTTCTGATGAGGAAGGGGGTATGATGAACTACACTAGTCCCCCCCAATTCTTGCCCTGTGAGAGCTCGGCGATTGCAAAAAGTCCGGGGTTGCGTTGGCAGTTTTGATGGTGGTTGCAATGGAGACAAGGGAGGGAGGGGCCGAGCTGTCGAAGCCCAGCAGACCGAACGATCGACGCGGTGGCGTAGCGTCGAAGTCCGGGGCGGGAAGCGTTTGAGATGACGGGGAGTGTAAGTCGTACGTTCTTATTCGTTCCCCCGTCAAACATCGGTTATATCTCGTCTCTTTTTTTCTCATAACACATGGATGCGGCCCTTTTTTTCTTCACATCTCGGCGCTTCGATCTCTCACTTTCCCATTCACATTACTCGCAGCTTTGACATTCCCCTTAAACGATTCCTCGTCCACAAACAACTGCGAGAGTCAAGTAAAGGTCTTTGTTTCACAATCTGACCACAGAACAACGCACCCTCTTTTCCCTTCTGCACACACGTCCAGTTTGGCACCATGTTGGTCAACGGAGAGGCTCAGCGCCCTAATGGCGTGTACTCGAGTCCCATGGTCCACGAATATCCCCGGCCTCTCAAGATTGCCATTGTAGGCGCCGGCATTGGTGGTTTGAGCACAGCCATCGCACTACGCCGGCAAGGTCACCAAGTTGACGTAAGAAGCCCCCCCCCCCCTTCCCACCCGTAGCCTCATCACACTCGCCCCATTCGTGCTGCCCATCGTACTCACGCTTTCAACCGTAGCTTTACGAGCAGTCGAGACTCGCCAACGAGACCGGTGCCGCCGTACATCTGGCCCCTAACTCCAACGGTCTCCTGCGGAGATGGGGCATCTACGCCGAGACGTTCGGCGCCAACCCTTCACACCACTTCAAGGAGAGGGACCTGAACAACCAAGGCGGCTTCGACGTCGACATTACAAAGTCCCAGGGTCAATGGCAGCACCCCTGGCAGCTCGTCCACCGCGCCTACCTCCACAACGAGATCCGCAACGTCGCCACGGCTGAGGACGGAGGGGTCACCACGCCGGCCAAGCTTCACGTCGCGTCCAAGGTTGTCGGCGCGGACCCCGAGAAGGGCGAGCTGTCGCTGGAAGACGGGACGACCGTTCAGGCAGATGTCATTCTTGGTGCTGATGGTATTTACGTACGTTAACGAAGGAGCGGAGGTGTAGTAGGGCTGGCGATACTGACATTCTCCAAATAGTCCAAGGTCAGGAGATTTGTAACTGGCACCGACTACAAGCTGTTCCGCTCGGGCAAGGCGGCGTTCCGTTTCCTCATCCCCCGCGCCGCCGCGCTCGAGGATCCCGTCACTGCGCCTCTGGTCGACAGAGAGAACTCACTGGGGATTTGGTTTGGTACGGATAGGCGTATTGTGATTTACCCGTGCAACAATAACCAGCTCCTCAACTTTGTTTGCATTCACCCGGATACCGAGTCTCAGGCAAACGCAAGCGACGGTAAGTCTCTTTCACCCCCCATCGTACAGCTACAAGACTGATGAAGCATTAGAATGGAACAAGAAGGGCTCCATCGAACAACTACTCAAGGTTTACAAGGACTTTGATCCTGCTGTGCTGCAGCTGATAAAGAAGGTTAATCCCAATGAAGTCAATGTATGGCAGTTGTTGGATATGGAGGCTATGCCGACGTGGGTGAATGGCAAGCTCGCCCTTTTGGGTGACGCCGCGCACCCTTTTACACCTCGTAAGTCTCGTCTTACCGAGACGATCCACCTCAAGATACTAACAGAGCCGTAGATCAGGGGCAAGGCGCAGGCCAGGCTATGGAAGACGGAGCAGCGTTAGCAGTCGTTCTACCCAAGGGCACATCGCCCGACGAAGTCCCTGAACGTTTACGTCTGTACGAAAAGATTCGCATGGAGCGCGCACACAAGATCCAAGAGTTCTCTCGTCAAGCCGGCAAGGACAGAATACCAGGCCAACCACCCGCCATCAAAAGTTCGTGAAAGCCCCCTCTCTCTCACACACACATACACCCCCTGGCAAATCAACTAACACGACGAAAAACAGTGATGAACTACACAAACTATAACTTTGGCCACGACGAGCACGACCACGCGACAAAGATCTTCAACAAGTACCTCTGGTCCAAGAAGCAGGACATGTACTGGCGCATGCCCATCGGCTTCGGTCCCTTCCCGGGTCCCCGACAGGACTTCTTCGGCCGCCGGCAGCCGTCCGAGCTCGAGCGCACCTTCAAGACAATATCGGTCAAGTTCCTCACGTCGCGCACGCTACTCGAGACCATCCTCCCCACGGACTCGTTCCGCTTCAAGGAACCGGGCACCGTCTGCGCCGCCTCGCTTTCCGTCACCCAGCTCAACAACATGTCTTGGCTCGGCGGCGGCGGCTACAACCATCTGGGTCTGTACATCCACGGCATCGAGTACGTCAAGCGCGACAGCACCGCCATCAGCGGCACCCACCTGTCTGTCTTGTTCGAGTCCCTGACGGATCCCATCGTATCGGGCCGCGAGGAGCTCGGTATGCCGAAGCTGTTCTGCGACATTGACCTCGAGCACCACGCCACGGCAGCGCGCGTCCGTGCCTCGTGGCGGGGCGCCACCTTTGCCGACATCTCGCTCAAGAACCTGCGCCGCGACGAGCCCGAGACGGAGCACGGCACCATCGGCGGCGAGGCGGACTACGGGATCCTGACGTACCGGTATATCCCCTCGGTCGGGCAGCCGGGCAAGGCCGACGCCGAGTACGCGTGCGTGGTGCCGCACGAGGAGGAGGCCAAGGACGTCCCCGCCACGGTGCACGCCGTGTCTAGGGCGTCTGCGGCGGACGTCTCGGTCAAGATGAATGGTCATGACTGGGAGAAGCTGCCGACGCTGCATCACGTTGCCAAGTTCCTGGCTGAGATGCCCATCTATGAGGTTGTGGGTGCCAAAGTCGTTGAGGGGACGGGCGTGCCGAATGTTTCTGCGGCTCGGAGGATAGAGTAGGGCAGTTTCGGAAGTCTACGAGCAAGGGGAAGAAATTGTCATATCATCAGATCCCATGATGGAGGCATTGTGTATATACTTTTTTCTCGTAGTGGCATCCAGGCTTTGGGCCTGGCGAATACCCAACATTGTACTTTGATAACCAAAACCCATAACATGTTTGGACATGCCCCAGACGAAGACGCTGACCATGCGCATCTTTCTGCAATCCCGCTTCCAAAAGATTGTACAGTATCCTTCTTCCTATCAACCTTGTGAAGTTGAATTATTCCACTTCATCTTCCCTCAGCCCCCTCCCCAAATATACCCGGCTCTTACAGTCGTCCGTGAGCCCGAACCCAAGATCTCGGATCAACGATGCATAGGAACCTTCAAGATCATGTGCAGAGAACAAACCTTCCACCCCAGCTTTCTGGTGGCCTTGAATTTACCTCAGATGCACAGCCGTACAAAACCCAACACGTGTGGAGAGATTACAGTTTCATAGCGTCCGCCGTAGCTGTCTGTCCTCCCACACCCGTCCCCGCACAACCCACCTCCTCTTGACGTCCCGGCCCCACCTCCACTTTCCGCCCACTCGCTCCGGCATGGCAGATGGGTGCGAGAAGCTGGCAAAGCTCAAAGCCCGTACGACGCCGGAATGCCGACACGGCAACTACTTTCAAACATGGTGGTCGAGGAAGGGGAGAGGGGGTGGGATGGCGCGGGGAAAGGGGATGATCAACGGGATGTTACAGAAGTCTACTTTGCAGCTGTTCATTTGTAAGCTCA